ACCCCCCAATGTCCCCAATGTCCCCCAATGCTCCCAATGTCCCCCATGTCCCCAACGTCCCCCAATACCCCCGATGTCCCCACACTCATCTCCCCCATTGCAGTTTGCCATCGGTTCCCTGATGGACGATTACCTCGGTGAGTGCAGAGTGGCCACGTGGTGCTGTGGGTCCCATTGTCCCCCATTGTCCCCAATGTCCCCCGGTGCCACCACCCCGTGTCCCCCCCAGGTCTCGTCAGCTGAGCGCCGTGGGACGAGCAGAGCAGTGGGATGGGGGATGGGATGGGGGACAAGGCTGGCCGTGGGGCTCGGTTATGGGGTGGCCCCCCCCTCCGTTCCCAATAAAAACGCTTTTTTTTTTGTCACTTGACGACTTTTTGTCACGTGGGGACGCGCGACACGCGTGGCGATCGCTCGGTGGGCCCCACCTCGGTCCATCGCCGCTTTAAGGCGACGCGCGGCCGCTTGAAGCGAGAGGCTCCCGCGCGCTTGCGCAGCGCGCAAGGTGGTGCCCCCGCAGCGCGCTTTGCGGCTTCGGCGCGCTTTACGGCTCCGGCGTGCTTTACGTTTCCGGGGCGCTTTACGTCTTCGGGGGGGCTTTACGACCGCCGCGCTTTCCGGCTTGGAATCACTTTCCGGCAGCGCCGCTCCGCCCCGCCCTCTCTTTCCACTGCGCTCCTCAAGATGGCGGTGTCCGGGGTGAGTGCGGCGCGCCTCGCGGAATCCGCCTCCATCCTCCGCTCCGAGCCGACCGGAGGCAACGGGACCGGCGCGGGGCGGAGCGCGGGGGTCTCCCGATGGGGCCGGGGGCGATCGGGGCGGCGGAGGGGCGCGGGGAGAGCGGCGATGGCGGACGGAGGGAGCGGGGGGGGGGGGGGGGGGGGGGCCGCGGCCCGGGGGGGGGGGGGGGGGCGGGGGGGGGGGGGGGGGGGGGGGGGGGGGGGGCCGCGGCCCGGAGGGGGGGATGGGCGCTGCGGTGCTGTGCGGGTCGGAGTGACCACGTGACCCAGAGCGCTGTCCCCAATGTCCCTTACCGGTGACCCCTCGCCCCATAGCCGCGCCCCATAGCGCCGTCCCTGTGGGTCTGAGGTTCCCCACACCCCATAGCGCCGTCCCCATGTCCCATATTGGTGACCCCACACCCCATAGCGCTGTCCCCACACCCCATATTGGGGTCCCCATGGCCTCAGAGGGTCCCCACACCCCACTGATGTCCCCACGCCCCATAGCAGCGTCCCCGTGTCCCATATTGGTGACCCCACACCCCATAGCGGCCATCCTCACGCCCCATTGATGTCCCCACATCCCATAGCGATGATGTCACATCCCATATTGGTGACCCCACACCCCATAGCCCTGTCCCCACGTCCCATAGCAGTGACCCCATAGCACTGTCCCGGCACCCCATTGGTGTCCCCACACCCCATAGCAGTGATCCCACACCCCATATTGGTGCCCCCACACCCCATATTGGGGTCCCCATGGCCTCAGAGGGTCCCCACACCCCACTGATGTCCTCATGCCCCATAGCGCCGTCCCCATGTCCCATATTGGTGACCCCGCACCCCATAGCGCCGTCCCCACGCCCCATTGATGCC